ATTTTTCCTTTGATAGTCGTAACTCCAGTGAAGCAGCTGAGGTATTAAAAGAGTGAACCATGTTCCTCTACATTTTTTTTTTTGGAGCATATGCTTTTATACGACCATTTATTTTTAGTGCTTTGGGTACTTACAGTTGTACAACGTTGAGCAAGTTACTTAATTTCTCTCAATCTCCTTTCCCCCCTGTTGAGTGATACTTTAGATAAAGCATAGGTGTTTTACACACAGCAGGTACCCAGTAAATGTTCTTTTTGCTTCTCACTCTTGTGTCTTTAATAGTTTTCTTTTTTTCTTGATTGTTACTTTATTAATCTGTTAGGAATAGATAGATGACTATTTCCATCAATGTTTGATTTTTACAGTATGGTAAGTTCTTAAAAAAATAGTAACATTAACCATGTAAAAGTAAGCTGTGGTATGTAAATCTATGTTGTGACAGCCTTGAGGAAAGAAATTGGGAAGCGGTTTTGGTGGCACTTTGACAGAAAGAATTATTTTAAAGTTGTACTTAAAAAATCATACAAAGTCTGGTCTTGGTTTCTAGTCAAAGACATTCATTTTGTGGCTTAAATGAAATACTGTTTTTCTGAAATATCTTTGTTCTTTATTTTTGAATAACATTATATTTGTGTTTTATGAAAAATGAACTTGAAGATATTGAAATGACAATACTAATCTACAATTGGTTAAATGGAAAATCTTATTTTGGTAATTGGGAACTCACTATAGATAACCATGTGATTTGAAAAAGTTTTATTAAAAAATGAAAGATAATCATTTAGAACTTACTTATAAGTATTTATGTGCCAGGCACTGGAATAAGCACTTTATGTGCATTTTGTCTTATAAAAATTTCAATAGTCTACCCTATGAAATAGGTAGTGATAGTATCCTTAATTTATGGATCAGAGAATTGATGCTCAGAGGTTAAGCAACTTGCCTAAAGCCAAAAGGTTTGTGATCTACTTGACTAAGAAATAGAGTTCTTAAATATTATATTTAAGTTTTTCCTTTAACACTAGTGTAATTTTATCTGCCACATTAAATTGAACCAAGTTAGGATTATTTAAAGATAATTAGAATATTCATGGAAAATAAAGTTCCAATTCTGAGAACTGGAAATTTAAGTATAAAATATTTAAATTTGCTCTAGAGCTTCTGGAATTTTAATTATAATGTTTCATGCATTATGAAAGCATGCTGAGTCAAGATTAAGTAAAACAAGATTTTGGTGGGGGTGTTTTTGTTTTTGTTTTTTAATTCTGTCATTCAGGTATAATTTCTTTTTTTATCTGGTGAATTACCCCTTTTAGCCAATTGTGGGAAAAACGTTTTGGTAGAACTGTTAAGATTTCAGGGATTTATACACAGTTTTGCTTTGTACTTTTTGCTTTTTCATTTTTTGTGGGGGGGGAATAGAAATATTCAAAAGTTTTATCTAATTGACTTGGTAATTTGTTAAACATCATGATTTCATGGTAAGCCTTTTTTTAAAATGTATTAGCCTAAGTATATTGATAACTTGGTAGTATATTTCATTTTCTTAAATGTAGTATTTCAAAGGACATGATTTCATGGTAAGCCTTTTTTTAAAATGTATTAGTCTAAGTATATTGATAACTTGGTAGTATATTTCATTTTCTTAAATGTAGTATTTCAAAGGACAATACTTTAAAGAGTGAAAGATTAATTTTTTGTAATATTGTAACTATAGTAGGATGAGATAGGGTTTCAGGTGTATCAACTGCAGGTTGTGTTCTTAAAATACAGGTCGTTAATGATTTCTTTGTCCTCAGTGTCTTTGAAAGGAAATTTTTTGAGTTAAGATGAGGAAGAAGATTAATCTTCATAAATTGAGGCATCTGGTTAGTTGGAATTTTTTTGGTATACCCCTTTTTAACCGAATTATTAAGTATGGCTTTCTGCCTGAATGAATTTACCTAGATGTTACTTTTAGTCAAGTCATAGTTTGTTTTTTTCTTGTGCCTTTTCTTTTTTTTGCCTGAATATATCCCACACAAGGATCTCTCTTGGTATTAATAAATCAAGGAGGTTGATTTCAGGAAAAAAAATGGGGTCTGGTATTTTTGTATAGTGTTTATAAACCTTGTATTTTTTTGTTGGCATTTTTGAGTGCTCATGGTATGCTAAATAGCCTTGTGAATTCTGCATGCACACAGACACTCATGTAATGGGCCTAAAAACTTTTTAGCGTAGGTGGTAATTATTGTCAGCTGCTTAACAGATGAAGAAACTGAGGCACAGAGAAGTAAAATCACTTGCTTATAGTTACATGATAGGAAGTGATAGAATCAGGATTTGAACTTGGACAGCCTACCTGAGAACTCATGTTCTTAACTACCAGGCTAACCTCTTCATAAAAATACAACAAATTTGTTATATTTAGACTTGGGGTAAATGGAGGAAATATGTGATTGGGAGAGGGAATTGTCATAATTGCTGGTTCTATACTGCGATAAAAGTTATCTGTGATTACAATCCATATGAGGCTTTTACTTCATTAATTATAATTATTATAGCGATTATTAACAACAGCTAACATTTTTAGAGCACTTAAGTGTAGTCATTTTACTAAATACTATATGTGGTTTATCTATCTTTTTTCTAATCTTCATAATGACCCTATGAGGTAAGTACTAATTTCCACATTTACACATGAAGAAACCGAGACTAAGAGATCTTACATAATACATTCAAGGTCTCATAGCTAGTTAAGTAGTAAAGATTGAAACCCAGTCAGTCTTATTCCAGAGTCTGTATCCTTAATTTTTATGGCATACCCATTCTTACTATAGCATGTTTAGATATGGCTCACTGAGCAGTGTGGAAAAAGTAAATCACTTCTAAGGAAAGATTATACAACCATTTATTTTTTCATTGCAATGAAATTCCGTTCTCTTTGTTTTCAGTGTAAGAACGAAGAGCTGCTCATATATCTATATATTTTTAGTTACTTAATTAAATTCTTACACAGTAAAATTTGTGATCATGAAAAATGGCTTTGGTAGTTGATATTATTCAATAATCATTTATATTAGAATGTTCTGATAGCTAAATTTTTAAATAATTAGAATATGAAAGTAATACATATTAAAAAATTGAACATAATTTGGAATTACTTTATGCTTCTACCTCAGACATATTTATGAAACTTGATTTTCGTTATATCATTGATGTAAGGAAATGCTAATCTGTAGCTATTTGTGTTTGGATGAATTCTTAGTTATGTGGTTCTTGGTTATTTTTGTAGTGTATTTTTTGGGAAGTGAATTAATTGGAAGACTAATTTATGAGAAATAATACCTTAAATAATGGTTTACTCAGAGGAAAAGTCATATATTTTTAATATTTATGAAGTTGAAATGGAATTTACGTAGTAGACATGTCAATCTGTTTAAGGATTATGTAGTTCTAAATTTCTTAAAGTTAATTTTGTTTTATTTAAGTATTTGAGAATTAAGTGAATTCTTACTGCATTCCTTTTTCCATTTGGATAGCAATAGGGATGTTTACACTGATTTTCATACTTTGGCTTGGAAATTAGGTGAGACTTGAAAAGTAGTTTCAATTGGAGTTGAACTGCAAAAGTCATCCAGTAATAATTTACTTTAATTCTTGGCTATCGTTTATTTTTAAGGTATATAAAATTTCACTGATTTTTTAATTATGTTTTTATAGTTGCATGTAGTCTTTATTTTTTCCTTCTAGTATTATTTTGAATTGATTTAGAAAGAGCCCCAAGAACTGACATGGTTGTACACTTACACAGTAGTATTCAAATATATATGAATACTATAAACTCTGTAACTATTATATACCAAAACTCACTACTTAGAATACCTTTAAAATTGTGGCACCATAGAGTTCTAATCTTGTTTTGTTATTCATAGTCTGCAGTGCATAAGTTTTCTACTGAAATGTATGTCATAGTTTGACAATCATTTACATGTAATTTTCTCTCTTTTTATTACAATGCTTCCCAGCAAGGACAAGTTTGGAAGGTTTGCAAAGCTTTTCACCTTCCCTCTGCCCGCTTGCCCGCTTTCAGATCAGTTTCATGTTTCATAACTTCTCTTTCTGCAATTCACAACATAGCTATAGTAAGCAATGATAAAACGTCAAATTGCAATACTTTATTTCCTCATACATAATAGAGAAAACTTTTCAAAGGACACATCATCCTTTCTAAAATTAATAAAAAGTTAAATAGGAATGTTAAAATTTTAGTAATTCCCTAAGAAATAACATCTCACAAATGAGTTAATTAAATGTCACATAATAAAATAGTGAACAGAATTGAAGATTGTATTCTGTACTGCTAATAGTTCAGATAAAAAGTTCTTTCTAGTAGTATTATCTTACATTTGTATAATGCTTTACAGTTTGCTACAGAGAGTGCTGTACTGCTGATGTCAAAATGTAAACATTTCCATTTGTTCTGTGCTTATGAGATATAGAACAGATGTAGATTCATTGTTTGAAGTGCTGCTGGTATGATGGAAAACACTGTTGTTGTAACTCAAAATATTCAGAACAGAAACACTCTTTAGTATTATAAAGACAATTTTAGCAGCTTCCAGTTCTTTTGAACTAGCCTCTTGTATTATAAAATGTTTAAAGTGAACGAGGAAAACATTTTGGAAAAGACATTTAAACATAAACTTTTATATTATAATACAAACATTTCCAGTACCCTACTGAATATTTAATTTTGTAATATTTTATTAGCTTCAGATGAATACAATCCTACCTCAAACCAAGAATTTTTCTTTTTTTTTCTTTTAGGTTTAAACTTTTTTCTTCACTGCTGTTCTGCGTTAACTGCTTTGAAACTTTCCGTTCATTTTTTTTTCAGTAGAAGAACATCTCTGTACTGTCTCCCATTGCATATTTCAGCTGTGACAATCCCTGCACTTTGCCTATTCATTTTATCACCTGCTCACCAAAAACAATAAATACCTTTCTAATTTCTGTTTACAGATTTGCTGTTATTCTTAGTTTTAGGAGAACGGTGCATTTCACTCTTTTTTATTACTGTTGTTTTATAAGCATGTGGAGACCCCAAGGCAAAACCATCCTACCTTATTGACAAAAACCTGGAATTTGCTGTGAAGTTCATAGTCAGAAAGTTCCCTGCTGTAGAAACCCGCAACAACAATGTAAGTCATTTAAATTTTGTGTTACTTATTTTAGCCATCTGTAAGGAAAGTAATGGTTAGTATAATTCTTGAAATAGCTCTTGTTTTTTTGTATTTTGACATGTAGATTACACATTGATTAAGGGCTTTTACAGACAATATGCTTATCTCTGAAACTAGAAAAAGTAACTGCTACATTGCCATTTGTGGAAAACACAAGATCTTAATTTCTTATACACTTACTTTGTTTCAAGTTGCAACAGACAGGAAGGCAATAGATGTGTATATATTCCAAATATTTATATAGCTACTTGGAGAGTTTTTTCTTATACACTTAGGTTCAGAATCTTCTTGATGTGTTTGCATATTTTTTGGTGGTTCTTTATAATAACTTATGTGAATAATTCTAGAAAATTAGTCTCATGTTATTATCTTTGCTATCCCTTTTTATTTATGTACAAACTCAGTCTAGAACTTTCCTATTACATATGGTCTCCCTAGCTTTAAGAAATTCTGTTTTGAAAGTGTTGTGTCTCTTTTTGGTGCCCTCAAATAGTGCATATTCATGGAAGAGTTGTGTTTAACCTGTTGATACTACTTTCTCGTAAAAATATTTTAATGTAGAGTGAAAATACCAGTCGGAATTAATAAAGTCTGGTAAAGTGCTTTCTAAAGAATGTTTTTTTAAGTAATTTTTGAGTACAGGTTAAGAGAGGTCTTTCTTTGTTTCATAGAAGATTGTGTTTTGTAACTAGTATGTGAGGTATCACAATTAGTCCCCGGTTACCAATGGGTGATTCAAAGCACATACTTTTTAAGAACACTGTTTGGATAACACTTTTGTAGTTACTGACATTAATTAGTTAACTTGTCTGAGAGATTATATACTCACTCTGAAGGAAAGAGATTTTATAATGAAAATCTAACATTTAATTTCATACACATTTCCCATTTTCATGGATTGTACAATTTCTGTGATATGAATGCTTCAGAGAATCTTTGAGGTTTAATTTATAATTGTGTGTCTGTATAAATTTTCCTGTAAGAACAAGGAAAGTTCCTGAAAATGAGGTGGCTTCTTATTAGAAGATAAGATTACATGTATATTCACTATTTCATAACAGTAACATTTTTTTGTTAGTAAATTATTAAGAATCTTAGCTCTCCTTGATTTGCTGGGCAAACTTTATTATAATGCTATTGTTTTTGTTTTTTAATAGTTCTCAACTTTTGTAGCACAGAATTGATTGTTAAGAACTTTATTGAAATACAGTTCATATGTATACAATTCACCTATTTGAAGTGTACAATTCGGTGTTTTTTAGTATATCTGCAGAACTGTGCATACACTACCACAGTCAATTTTAGAACATGTTCATCAACCCAAAAAGAAAATCCTGGACCTATCAGCAGTTTCTCCTGCCCACCCCCAGTCCTAGGCAAACACTCATCTTTCTATCTGTATGCTTACTCTGGAGATTTCACAAAAATAGGATCATGTGACATGTGGCCTTTTGAGACTACTGTCTTACACTTAGCATTATATTTTCAAGGTTTATCCAAGTTGTAGCATGTATTAGTACTTAATTTCTTTTTATTGCCAAAAAATACTCCATTGTGTACATATTTCACATTGTATTTATCCATCATCAGCTGATGAACATTTCAGTTGTTTCTACTTTTTTTGACTATTATTGATACTACTATGAACATTGTGTAAAAGTTGTGTGAATATGTGTTTTTATTTCTCTTGGATATATATACCTAGTAGTAGAATTGTTGGGTCATGTGGTAATTCTGTTTAACCTATAAAATCAATGTACAATGTTGTTGAACGTTATATGAGTACTTGTAGAATTTACTCTGTTTTGTTTGCAAAGTCTGAATTTTGTCAGATGGACTTTACAACTATACAGTATAATGCTGTTCTGTTGTTTTTTACTTACTGAAATACCATGTACCTGGATAACTGAAGTTGTGATCTCATTTTTGATCTGGGCCTGCTAAAATCCTTGTGACAAGTTCCTAGCCAGCTTGGGTTAAGAAATGAGAAATGAATTCAGTTTTATTATTAGTTTTTAATTCCATAAAAGTAGTTAGAGGAAGGTAAGGACTGGGAATGACAGTAGCATCTGAAGTTTATAGGAGCCTGTGGATTTCTGGCCACTATGTGCACTGAAGAAATGGTATTGATATCGCAGGTTTTTTATCCTCCTTTATACTGGGCTTTGGGTCATTGTATAAATATGTGTCACAGAGCTTACTTTATCTCAGGGGTCAGGAAGAATTACTGCTCAGCACTATTTCTGTTTTCATTCATGTCATTCATGTAAGTACCACCTGTCCCCAGTTTCAGAAAAGGAAGTCATAAAAAGAATTGGTTCAGTGAAAAATTCAGCAAAATTTTTTTTGATCTTCTTAAAGGCTAACATTATTTTGCAGCCAAAAACTTAACTGATTCTTTGCTTGATACGCTGCATTCCTGCTGCCATGCTTTTAAATCCCAGTAAAAGCTGTGAGCACGTAGATACCTGGTTTACGATAAAGGAAGGTTTTGCCAACAGCAGCGCAGCATTGTTGCCTAACATGGCTTCAACCATGAGGATGTTGAATTCTGTTGAGTCACTTGTACTGTCTTGATCAGACCTTTTTTTTTTTACCAGTTGTAAACTTTTATACCTCCACTCACCCTACCCCTAGTTCTGGATTTAGGGGAACTTTTTTAATTTTTATTTTTGGGTAACCAAGAATTCCTTCTTTTGTGGGTAAATATGTTGAACTAAATGTACATATTCTTCAAAGCAGGCTGATTAAGTAAAATTCAAATGAATAAAAACTATACCAGTTTTGTAATTATAGCCACTTATTGAGTATCTTGTATGTGCCAGACTGTGTATTTTAATAGAATTACTAAGTTTTCTTACTTAATTTTAGATTAAGGAAAGCATTTCTTAGGTAATTATCTCATTGTCTAATTTATATAACATGATACCTCCTGTTATTTTGAAAATATGACTGTATGACTGTCAAATGGGTTTATAGTTTGTTTTCCAGATGTTTCTCATGAATAAATAGAGGGAAATGTGTTATTTCCCTGGATAAAGAAAATTCCTTATTTTATTAACAGGTAAAAATTGTTTTGCCCAAGAAATTCTAAAAGACATTTTAAAGCCGATGTTTAGCTGTATATTAAAACTTGATGAAATTTTTCTCTAAAATGTTTTAGACTTAATTTTTCCTCCTTTGTTCCTCCTATGTGGTATTTATATCTAAAAGCTACTTTGTGTTTTTTCAAAACACTAAAAATATCTAGCTCAAAAGTGTCATTATGTAATTTGCATGTTATACATTTTAGTATAACATTTTGGATTTGATTCCCGAATTAATGGGGAAATGGTATAAATTACTGTCCTTTATATATTAAATTTGATCTTGACTCCATAAGAATGAAGACATTGTTAGTGAGTAGAGTGCCATGAGATTAATCATGGATTCTGGACTGAGATACAGGCCATTATTGAAATCTCTTGAAAATTAAATTTTCAAACTTGGAGGTATATTTTGTGCTATAGTTATTACTTATCCCCTCTCTCAAGGAACATAGTATTGTAAGATACTATATAATGTCATATTTTTAAATTAGCACCCAAGAAAAGGCAAAATAAAGCAATTTTCAGAGTGTCATAATTGCCAGTAAAGTTGGTTCAGATACAGCATTAAAGTCTGTTTTTAAACACCATTTTATCCTTAGTGTGTGGTATATAAGACACAGAATATGTGTTTGATGAGTTAATGAACCTAATTAGTATGCTTTAACTTAGCTGGCCTTCATTTATTCGAACATTGTCATAGTTTTATGTCAGGCCCAAAATTTACCAACACTATTTTATAAAATTTCATTATGTTATTAATAAAAAACCCCACAAAACTCTGTGCTTTTTGGTAGAGCTACACAAATACATCTTGTTAATTATATTACTGAAAGTAAGCTGAAAAAAAAAAAGAGTGTCAGCTTCTTAAAAGCATAAATGTATTTTGGGGGTGGGGTGGCAGTTTTGGGAAATGGGTGTGGAGAGGCCCTTGACACATGCACTGTGGTTTAGTTAGGAGTTAGAAGGAAGGGAAACTTTCTCGTTCCTGGTTAATCTCCAAGAGGGCATTCCTTGCCTTGTCAGGCTTCCATTATGATGTGATAGTTTACTGGTTAAGAAGTATGGAGTTTGGAGTCAATAAATCAAAATTTGAGTTTTGGTCTTTCCACTTACTAGCTGAATGATTTGGGGCAAATCATATTGCGTCTTAAGGCCTCATTGTTCTTCTCTCTAAAATGGTGATAACACCAATCTTAAGAAGCAGTTTAATATTTCCTAAAGCATTTAGCAGATATTTATGACAAATTGCTTTTGACAGATGGAAGCCGTTATTTATATTACCTCTCTGACTTTTGGTCTGCCTCACTGGCTTTCCTTCTAGCTACTCTATAAATGTGGATATTTCTAAGTGACCCTATTTTTCTCAATATATATAAAAACATGTACTCCATGGCTTCAGCTAAGTAATAGGCTATTATCTTCTGTGTTCTAGATCTAACTTACAACTACCTTTTGGACAGGTTCACAAACTAAACAGCCAAATTGTGTCAAATATTGAACAGGATTATCCTCCATTTTGTTTATTTTCTGTGTTCTCTTCCTTGAGACATCACCATTTTCTTGGTTACCTAAACTAGAACCTTTGGAAACCCCATTGACTTGTATAAAATGTCAAACTGGTCATTTAGGGCTTGTTAGTTTAATGCTATATTGTCTTTTGCATTTGTTCCCTTCAGGTCTGTATCTCCTATTGGGTCAAATGCCATGATAATCCAAACTGCTTTTCATGATGCCCAATTCCTCCTTCTGTTGTCCCCCCACCCCCACCCCTTCCTCTCTACAGCCTCTACTAGGGGTGGCAGAACAAAGCAAAACTAATTTATTACCTGTGGTAACTCACATTTCTGTTTTCCTGGAGCATGCACTCAT